CTACACACTACCGTGGACGGTCTATGGTCGCTTGATTCACGCACACACACGCACGCACGCACGCACGCACGCACGCACACACACACACACACACACACACACACACACACGCGCGCGCGCGCGCACCGTGTCCCGCGGTTGTTGGCTTACAGAACAGTTTGTAAGGATGTGTCGCGTAGAGAGAACCTAGCACTCAGACGACTTCTCTATGACTTCTCTACGACTCTCCCCCTCTCCACTCGTGTTTCTACCCGAACACACACACACACTCAACCGCTGCAGCCTTATTCCCGAGTGTCCCAAACGAAAATCATACTTTTAGAAAGCGAGGTGCGACGTAGGTGTAGCGCTCAATAAACTCTTGTCGATGGCCGTTTGTGCTGTCGATATATATACCTGCAGTATCGCATCGGATGTTTGAAGTCAAGTGTCTCTTCGCTACAAATTTACGAGTTTGACCGAAAATCGATCTACCCTCTGTGTATGAGCGGGTCAATTCGGTACAAAGAATCGCTTGTAGTTCTTTTTATGTGATTTCGGTGCGACGGCATATTGACATGAAAATACGGGGATGGGGAGGAGTATATAGATTGTATAGTAAATGATGAAATGCGCTTCAACCCTGACAGACATACTAACTATCTCATACTAGAAGATGTTCCTCTGATAAAACATTTTTAAATCGGTGCAGATAGTTTCAGTGACTGTATAATTATTGATGTTACGTTACTACTCCCAAACTTGTGTGGTAGGCACGTGTCCTTTGTGACCCCTCCCGGGTTTTGCCACCTGGCTCAACGGGCAATCATCGCTTATTGCAAACAATAGTAAACAAATTAGTGTACTTAACATAGTACTTACTGACTTCAGAGTTATTGAGAGTTCCGAGTTCCCGTAGAAGAGACAGGTTTTCTCCAGTGTGTCATGTTTGTGATACATGTGCAGAACAACAAGCCAATGTGTAATATTCTCCTAAAGTTTACATTTTTTGATAGTACTTACTCTGTATCCATTACCTGTTATCATATTTATATTTTCAGCAAATGGATGCTGTTGTCTACTTGTATAAACCAGAGGGGAGTCTTCTGTACCTCTATCATACCTTCAGTTATTTACACACCACAAATTGTTATTTGTCGCTAACCTTTGTAATGGCATTGGGCACGTACTAGTAACATAATTCGTGCTAGTATATTCTAGCGCAAAAATCAATACATACGATTTTTGTAGCCCCATACATTCCTCTCAGGTTGGTTAACTCCTCTCTGAGTTTAGCTTTTTGCTTATTGGATCTTGTAAGGGGAAACTGTGAAAGAAAGGTTGCAATAAAATTACTCTAATCGGCCGATCCTAATCTAATCGACGTCAACCGAAGTCTTCCGTGTGCTCCTCCCCTTGTAATGTGAAGAGTTATCATTATACCTTTGTCATACGTTCAGTTACTCTCCTCTCTCTCTCTGCTCTCCCCTCTCTCTCTCTGTTTTCTCAATCTTTCTCTTCTCTCTCTCTCTCTTTTTCTCTCTCTCTCTCTCTCTCTCTCTCTCTCTCACTCTTTTCTCTCTCTCTCCTCTCTCTCTCTTTCTCTCTCTTTTTCTCTATCTCTCTCTCTCTCTCTCTCTTTCTCGCTCCCCCTTTCTCTTCCTCTCCCTCTTTTTTGATAGTACTCTGTATCCAATACCTGCTATCATATGTATATTTTCAGCAAATGGATGCTGTTTGTCTAGTTGTATAAACCAGAGGGGAGTCTTCTGTACCGCTATCATACCTTCAGTTACTTACCCACCACAAATTGTTATTTGTCGCTAACCTTTGTAATGGCATTGGGAGTACGGGCTAGTAATATCAAAGACCGTCTTGTATTTAGTAATACTAGGCGTAACATGTTTTTGTAGCCCCATACATTCCACTCAGCTTGGTTAACTCCTCGCTGAGTTTAGCTTTGTGCTTATTGGATCTTGTAAGGGGAAACTGTGAAAGAAAGGTAGGAATAAATAATGTTAAAGCTGTGTCTATACGCACGGCACGGCTCGTCATTTTTGCCGGGCTGGGCTTCCATCTCCACCTGCGCGGTTTGCTGTGCAGTTAGAACGGTTGCTGTATAGCGGTGTGCTGAAAAAGTTCATTGTGTTTGAGCGCGAAAAAGAGCATTTTCACGAGTATAGTAGACAAAGATGAACGGTAATTTGTCTTCCTCAGATGAAGATGATGAGGTTTTGTTACTAGCATTGGCACTGAAGAGAAAATGAAAAAAACGAAAAAACAAACAGGCTGTCATCCCATTCTTTTCCTGATTAGAAATGAGCCTGCTGTGTTCAAATGTGTTTTGCATTGGCTAGTTGTATAAACCAGAGGGGAGTCACCTGTACCTCTCATACGGGTGATACTCCATTAGGAGGGTTCCCAACTTTAATGTCATTAATGGTTAGGGTTAGGTTAATTACGACACTAATTAGGTCACGCCATTAATGATAACAAACTTGGGAACACTCCTAATGGAGCATTAGCCTGTCCATACCTTCAGTTACTTACACACCACAAACTGTTATTTGTCGCTAACCTTTGTAATGGCATTGGGAGTAGAGACTAGTAACTTCGTGCTAGTATCAGCCTACTAGCACACAATAGTCATAACATATAAGTTTTTGTAGCCCCTACATTCCTCTCAGGTTGGTTAACGCCTCGCTGAGTTTAGCTTTGTGCTTATTGGATATTGTAAGGGGAAACTGTGAAAGAAAGGTAGGAATAAATAAGGTAAAGGTGTGTCTGTACGCACAGAACGGCTCGGCATTTTTGCCGGGCTGTGCTTCCGTCTCCACCTGCGCGGTTTGCTGTGCAGTTAGAACGGTGTGCTGAAATGTTCATTGTGTTTGAGCGCGAAAAAGAGAATTTTCACGAGTATAGTATACAAAGATGAACGGTCTTTTGTCTTCCTCAGATGAAGATGATGAGGTTTTGTTACTAGCATTGGCACTGAAGAGAAAATGAAAACGAAAAAACAAACAGACTGTCATCCCATCTTTTTCCTGAGTAGAAATGAGCCAGCTGGGTTCAGATTTGTTTTTTTAGCAGGCAATTGAGCTGTTTCCTTATATTAAATCAGAAATATTTGGGCTATATGTGTTTCAGTAAGTGTATAGTATATAGTAGATAGAGAATAATAAACAGATGAAAGATGAATATGCTTAGCTTGCTGTTGCAGCATCTTCTGATAAAATCGGAAACGGAATATGATCAGGAATAAATAAAATCACAATTCGTTTTTATTCACTCCTGAAACGATCATGTGTATCGATCATGGAAAAGTAAATCGGAACAACCATAACGTGAATGTAAATATAATTAGAATTATATCGGAATGACAGTGGAATGAATCGGATAACCTGATAACGTTTCCGTGTTTCATCTTCTACCGTGTTTTTACTTTGACCCTATTAATTCATACGTTTCTCTCTCTCTCTCTCTTTCTCTCTCTCTCTCTCTCTCTCTCTCT